ATTGTGGATCTGAGGTGGTGGAGAAGTGAGAGAGAATAAGTGAAAGAATGTGACAGTGGAGGGGTGGAAGGAGTGTGGCAGGTCAGGGCCTTTAAAAACATGCCCTAAAATTCCTGTTACAGGACTAATGTTTGCCCAGTAAAAGCAAAACACATCTTGCGATTATCCACACTGGATTTCAATGTTGTTTGTTCTTCTATTAGATACAGGGCAGACTGTTTGCATTTGGGTCTTAGGTAGCTACTGTTGTACTAATAACTCACTTGGTGTTTTGTAGTTTCTTCTCGATCCATTTCAGATGTTGCTTAGCGGCAGCATAGTCTTCTGGACCTTCAGGTTCAAGCCTGTCATAGGTGTTCCCACACAAAACCACCGTGTCAATCATCAGAATCATGATGGAAGTGTTGCTGTGAGGAACTTTGAAGTTCAGCTCATAATAGAGGTCTGGGTAGATCCTGCCAAACATTAACAGCAGCTCACTCTGTGGTCATGAATGAATGCCCATGTTTACATTCTTTAATACACATACTCACTCACCATCTTTCAGATCTATTTGAGTAAGCGATCTGGGCTGATATGTTGCCACGGTGATCGTGATTTCCTGCTACCAGGTACCACGGCACGGCCATCAGCGCGGGGTGAGAGAACACACTCTCATAGGTAGACTAAAGAATAGATCTTCATTAAAACTCCAAAACATAATTTTAATATAAATAATAATAAATAATAAATAAATATTAAATATTACACATATATATTAACATGATTCAATTATGACTATTATACTATTACTAATATATTAATAATATCTTATATTAGTAAAATATGAATAAATGTGCATTATATAATTAGAACTTAAATATATGACTTATGTATTGCACTGGATAGCTGGCCAATCAGAGCACACCTCGCTTTTCAGACCGATGAGCTTTGTAAAAATCGACGTGTTTCAGAAAGGTGGAGCATAGAGGAGAAACAATAATGTACAGTATGTGGAAAATAACTGTTTTTTTTTACCTTAAATGGCATAAACACATTTCATTACACCAAATACACAAAATAATGTTCTTTTTAGCAACATCATATGACCCCTTTAAAAGTAGTGATGACTGATGATGAGTAATCCAGTTTTACTTGTGAATAAAGCGAAAGCTTTACTGCAATCTGTTCTTCTGCCACTAGAGGGACCAATTCATCTGTCACACTTACTATATCAGATGATCAGAGAGTGTAAAGACAGTTCACTGAGCTGAAGTACCCTGTGCACACTATCACTGTCTGCTCTCTAACCTGTCTGATCCTGGTTACATCATCAAACTTTGAAGCTGTAACCAAATACACAAAATAATGTTCTTTTTAGCAACATCATATGACCCCTTTAAAAATAGTGATGACTGATGTTGAGTAATCCAGTTTTACTTGTGAATAAAGCGAAAGCTTTACTGCATTCTGTTCTTCTGCCACTAGAGGGACCAATTCATCTGTCACACTTACTATATCAGATGATCAGAGAGTGTAAAGACAGTTCACTGAGCTGAAGTACCCTGTGCACACTATCACTGTCTGCTCTCTAACCTGTCTGATCCTGGTTACATCATCAAACTTTGAAGCTGTACTGCTAGCTGTACATGTTAACCTGAGACATGTACTCACCCTACTTTTTGCATAACAGATCCCTCAAAAAGTTTTGAGCAAATTTCACAAGCACTTAAAGGGTTAGTTCACCCAAAAATTAAAATTAGGCTGTGTTTTACTCACCCTCAAATCATCCTAGGTGTATGGCTTTCTTCTTTCAGATGAATCCAGGCAGAGTTATATAAAAAATTGTCCTGGTCAAGACGTTCAGGCGGATGACGTAGCACATATGCGTTGTGCACACGCCTCTGAGAAATGCAGGAGCAAAGGAAACAAAGTTTCCTTACTTTACCAAAGGAAAACCAGTCTCCTCTTGGCTTATATCGAAATCCTCCGAAATTTTTCTTTGCAAATCTTCATTTTGTGCTTCTAATTCGTGAACGCGTTTTCTTTTGTTTTGCAATTTCATTTCCCTCAAAAAGTTTTGAGCAAATTTCACAAGCACTTAAAGGGTTAGTTCACCCAAAAATTAAAATTAGCCTGTGTTTTACTCACCCTCAAAGAATCCTAGGTGTATGTGACTTTCTTCTTTCAGACGAATCCAGTCGGAGTTATATAAAAAATTGTCCTGGTCAAGACGTTCAGGTGGATGACGTAGCACATATGCGTTGTGCGCACGCCTCTGAGAAATGCAGGAGCAAAGGAAACAAAGTTTCCTTACTTTACCAAAGGAAAACCAGTCTCCTCTTGGCTTATATCGAAATCCTCCGAAATTTTTCTTTGCAAATCTTCATTTTGTGCTTCTAATTCGTGAACGCGTTTTCTTTTGTTTTGCAATTTCATTGCTTATCACGCAACGTCGACATCTTACATCATCCACCGGAACGGCTTCCGCGTACGACAGTCAGCGGAAGTGAGAAAAAAAGTGTTTATTACATTTGAAATATGGATATTTATCTTACAAAAATGCATGGATTCGCTACAGGAGGCCTTTATTCACCCGCCGGTGCCACGTGAGGGACGTTTTATTACAGATGCACGCACTTTATTTCACGTCTTCTGAACTGTTGACAACCAACACCCGCTTACCCCCACAGAAAGGCTTGGAGGGGCCAGGACAATTTTGAATATAACTCCGACTGGATTCGTCCGAAAGAAGAAAGTCACATACACCTAGGATGCTTTGAGTGTGAGTAAAATACAGGCTAATTTTCATTTTTGAGTGAACTAACCCTTTAAGAAAGAAATTTAGGAGGAGATGAATCAGTTCTCAAGTGACTTAACCTGGTGATCACCTTAAACCGCGTGTCATCTACATCCCTGACCCCTCTGAAGTAGAAATGATCTCCAAGACTGAGAACAAAGTCCAGACCTGAGCTCTTAGCGATTCTGCCCAGTTCATTGGCCGTGTCGAACTCATGCGGCGTGTAGTAGGGGTACATAGGAAGTCCACCCCAGTCTCCAATCCCAACAAACTTCAGAGAAGCTGAAGAGAAACAAAACATGCAGATTTTATATCAATGCACATTCAACTGACTCAAAGTCAACCAATTTCACATTTGATCACATGAAAAATTCTTACTGATCCAGTTTGTCTGCACTAGTAATCATGTGGCTGTTTCCTGATATATTAACGTTTGCAGTCATACAGATCATTAAGAAAATACATCAGAAATACTCTACCTTGTTCATTCGCCTGACATGTTGTGTAGACCATCTGAAGGCAGGAGATAAGAAGGAAGGCCAGCCACGCCATATCATGCCTTCAGATGGCTGATCTGATCCTGCAAACGGTCACAGTGTAAAAGTGAAGTTACAGGTTTAAGAGTCACAAAGACACTGACAAGCCACAAACAGCTTAACACTCAATTCTCTGCACCTAAAGGGAAACTACATGTGGTTTATGACAAGCTTCCTGTACTGAGCCCAGAGTGAAAGAATGAAGCACATGATGGCCAACGATCACCAGTTTACAAAGTAAACAAATGAAAGTTATTATCGGCTATCAGAAAAAAAGAGATTAGAAATACACCACCACCACTATTCTACAATATTCATTTTTTATGTTAATTAGAATAATTTTATAATCCATTTTAATTGCAACATAATTTTTTTAATAACATGATCAGCTACCAAAAGTGTTCGTAAAATATAATTAACAACAATTATATAATGATATAATTATTAAATGATGTAAAACATGATTTAAAATTGTAAAAAATAATAATTGTATAGTATTTTATGTTTAATTATAATTTATAATAATTGTAATATAATATTCGTATGATCTATCTAATGAGCTTATAATTATAGCATATAATAATAATAACAATAGTTTAAAATTTGTAAGTTTAATTGTATTATAATTTATAATTATTTTGAATAATAATCTTATCAGGTACAAACAAAACAAGAGTAATTAATAATAATAATAAAGTCATATTAATCATATGAAGTTATATTTTATTTTAATTAGAATTTCAAATAAAAAATAAATAATATTCAATATTTTACACATATTTTTCAAAATGTTTTTCTGTGGTTTACTATGACAGCCACAGTTGATCTGTATTAACATATTTAAAATTCTGTATAGTGATCTATTGGTAATATGCCAACCCTTATCAAGCAGATATGTGGTTTATACGGCTCTAGTTAGAGTTTACAGTGGAAGCTCTCCAGCAGATCTCATAAATCATTAACTTACACTGGATAGCAAGTCATGCACAGTCTACACTACAAATCAAATGCAGTCTTTTATGCGGTACCAGTGTGCAGTTATGGTATCAGATGGTAATACCATGCTACTCTGATATATATCATGGTACTAAATGATTACTATATACACTACCGGTCAAAATAATGATTTCTGAAGGATCATGTGACTCTGAAGACTGGATTAATGACTGCTGAAAATTCAGCTTTGCCATCACATTAAAACATATTCAAATAGAAAACAATCATTGTACTAAGATTTCACAATGTTACCGTTTTTACTGTATTTTTCATCAAATAAATGCAGCCTTGGTGAGCATAAGAGATTTATTTCAAAAACATATCAAAAAAATATAAATTTTCCCAAACTTTTGACTGGTAGTCTTCATGTGCAGTGCTGTTTGCATGGTAACATCATAGTACTTAGTATTTGTTAAAGACAAAGACTTTTAAACCAAAAAAATGAGATGGATTGTAATTTGAAACTCAGTACAGTGAACCAGGTAAATCCAAAATATCAAATGGATTTTCTCAATCACGTTTGACCAAAAGTGCATCTTGAGTTTGTGTTTTACCACCTTTGGCCAGGAACGGGTGACTAGAGGCACATTAAAAATACATTGTCATGTGGAGGGTGAAAGGTCAAAGGATTGTCTAATCTAAATGACCTTTCACTTACATTTGATGTGTGTTAAAGATCAACATTCATCTTTTTTTTTTTTTTTTAGATTTCCTAAAGTAACCAGTTTCATAATGTGCGATAAACCAGTCCAATTGAAGTCACACACACACACACACAAAATCATCAACACGATCTATAACCATTTCTTCGAGATAAAAAAAGACCACTAACAGACTACTAGTAGCATCAATATCTCCTTTTTTTAATTGAAAACATACAGCAAAGTGGTTCATTTGCTTAATGTGTGAAGTGCTACGACAATATTTCTTTCAGTTTACATAACCGTTCCGGATTCCTTCCACATCAAGAAATGCCAACAATGCTGGAGTAAACAAGTGCATAGGCAACTTCTCATCGATTACAGACACCGAACGGTTATACAAGGCTCCCTGGTTGTCCAAATTACCATACCATGTAAAGTGCACCAAAAAACAACTCGCACACATCCAGACCACCCAACCACGCTGCAGTGAGCACGAAAAGGCCACTTAGTAGCTTAAAGAAAGGTTTAGCTGATGAGAAAAAGGCAATATTAGATCATTATTGTGTATCTAGCATATTGAACGCTCAGTTCAGTCCAGTGCCATCGATTTGTGTGCACCTATACAGACCAATTTCATTTATTAACAAATTAGAGCACAGACACAAGATGTATTTCCTTGGTACACGCACCCATGCATACTTAACAGATGTCTTATAAATTGAACTGCTTAAATTACAAAATTATATACAATCACTAAGGACAAAAGTAGTGTTAATAAATCTCTAAACACAATTTCATCCCAAAAAGGTTATAATGATTAAAAACAAACTCCTTAGGTTGGCAGGCGACTACTTAAAGGGACAGTTCACTCAAAAATAAAAATTCTGCCATCACTTTCTCACCCTCAAGTTGTTCCAAACTTTTACGAGAGTCTGTCTTTTGTTGAACATTTGAGAAGATCTTTTGAAGAATGTTTGTAACTAAGTTGATGGTCTTCATTGACTTCCATACTATGGAAGCCAATGGCTACAATCAAATGTTACCTTATTTTGCTTTCATCGGAAGAAAGAGTAAATGATGACAGAACTTTCATTTCTGGGTGAACTATCACTTTAAGAAGTGAACAGTTAGGGGCCATCACTAGGGCTGCTGATAGTATAGTGCAGTTGTTTTTCCTCTAAGAGCCGAACTCCACAGTTTCAGGGGTGATGGGTTTGAATTCGTAGTTTCCTCTTCCATCCATATGGAGGTAGTACTGAAAAGAAGAAAGGGCATTTTGAAAGTGCTTAAGCATACGGCGAATGTCGGTAAATATTGATGATGGGAATATTTTAGCGCTGATCTCACCTTGTGATGCTTCCACAGGGACTTTCTGTGAGAGACAGTGAACAGGGTGATGCCAACCTGCCGAACAAGAACAATAAACCACACATTCAGAGAAACTTTAGCAAAATGTACAGTAATACAATGGGAAAATGTGTGTGTTGTGAGGTTCAGGCACCTTTTTGCAGTGACTGTAGATGTAATCCTCTACGTCTACGCTCACAGCACTGGTGCACTCATCCAGGATGGCAAACTGGGGTATATGGTAGAAGAGTCTGGCCATCTATGGGAAAAACCATCATTTTATAAACCTATAAACATCTAGGAATTTCAACATCATTTGAACATTTCCAGTATTATTGTAGGTCCAAAGAACTCTTTATACATGTTAGAAATATTCTGACATCTCCCACCTAACTGCTAAACAAACAAAGTACAAACAAAGTACAAATTAAATAGACATTTTCTGAGTCCATGGATGGGAGATCTTCTTATAACTATGGTAATTCTGATGATTCCAACTTGATGTGACTCAGTCTAAGTGCAGTAGTGTAATGGTACTGTCAAAGATCTGGGCTTTAACACAAATTGTGAAGTGGTTCAAAAACAGGATGTTAACACGACAACAATATAGCCCTTATCAGTGCCTTTGACTTCTGTTCAGAGAACTGTCCCTGCAGTTACTGTTAGTCACTTTGCATTACTGTACAGGACTTTCTTTGTGGTTGTTAAAAATGTCTGTTTACCGCCATTCTCTGCTTCTCTCCTCCACTGAGCACATCCATCCAGTCCTGAACCATGTCCCACGACCCCTCTCTTTCCAAAATGTGACCTAACTGGACATTATCCAGGTATTCCTTCAGCACCTGCCACACAAAACAGGTTGATGGAATGAAAATGGATTATTATAAAATAAATATAGGTGATCTGCACGTGTTACAGACTTTTTAGAACATTTCAGATCTTAAAAACTAGTTTATAGTACCTGGTCAGAGATGCCTTTCTTCTTTTGGTCCTCATGGGTGTCTGGGTAGATCACCTGATCCCTCAGTGTGCCGAGGGTCATGTAAGGCCTCTGAAAACAGACAATAAAAGGCAAGTTATTCAGCTTTTGTGGACCATTCAGATGTTCTGCCATCGGTAAAGTGGGTTTTGTTCTGTAAAGATCTGTTTAAAGTTTCACCTGAGGGACGTAGAAGAGTTTCCCCCTCTCTGGTTTCGTCAAACTCCCACCAAACAGCGGCCATAACTAGAGAGAGTCCGAAAACCCAACATTTAGCAGATAAAATGGAAGAATTTTTACAGGGAACCAAGAACAAGGGCAGAATTCCGGTCTAAGAATCGCAGACATGCTCACCTCTCCAAGAACCCGGAAAAGTGAACTCTTTCCGCACCCATTGGGTCCACACACCAAAACATTGGCTCCGGATTTCACCTTTGAAGAGCACACGCATTAACTGTACAAACATTCCACCCCTGACTAAAAAGTAAACCAGGTTACTGTGAAATAAAATGTTTAAATAATACACAACAAAGTCACAATTACAAGATTCAAAGTCGCAATTATGAGAAAAATCCATTTTGAAAAAAGTCGCAAATGGGAGAAGCAAGTCCACAATTGGGAAAAAAAATTGTAATTGCAAGAAACAAAGATGCAATTATGAGATATAAAGATGCAATTACGAGAAAAAAAAAGAAAAAGTTGTAAATGAGATATATATAAAAAAAAATCACACTACAAGAAACAAAGTTGTAATAATGAAAAACAGTCACAATTTCGAGATATAAGGTTGCAATTTTGAAAAAATTTTAAACATGGGATATGAAATCATATTGTGAAAGTCACATTTACAAGAAAAAAGGGGCAAATGTGAGATATGAAATCACACTACAAGAAACTAAGTTGCAATAGGGTAAACAAAATCATAAACAATTGCGTGATGTAAAGAGATGTAAAATATGAGCAGCAACAATGTTGCAACTGCAAGAAATAAAGTAGCTATTTCGGTCAAATATTGTCCTATCCTAACAAACCACACATCAATGGAAAGCTGGTTTATTCAGCTTTGAGATGGTGTATAAATCTCAATTTCAAAAAATTGACCCTTATGACTGGTTTTGTGGTCCAGGGTCACATATATATTTTAGATTATTGGCCCATATTAGAATGTTAGATATTTAATTGTGTATGCGCATGTTTTTCTATTACCTTTAATACCTTAATTACCTTTACTTTCATCTACTTTTGATACCTTTTTATAATACCCTTACCACAAAATTAACACTGTTAAATGTCATCAAAATATTAATTTGTCATACTGTACATTGTAATGTTGTAATGCCTAAATACACTTGCAATTTAAAATTACTAATTTGAGTCTAGTTTTATTTTTACTTGATTTAGGTAAAATAGTATACATTTTAATTTATCAGCAACAATATAAAAATAATAATATGTGGCTTTCTGTATTTCATCAGTAAATACTGATGCAACCCTTTGATAATAACAACTCACAGATTTGTTTGGTCACATACTCACCAGTTTCTTGAAGGTTGAATGAATTGTCTGTTTCTCCCTTACGTTTCCATTGTAGAAGGCAATCTCTTCACTGACAATGAAATAAAAACATAAAACATTTGAGTATGCATCAAAATTGGAGAAAAACTAAGTTATATTACCATAGAACTACACTGCTAGATAGATACAAGTAAGTACCTGTTTGTGATGAGACGAGAGTTGACGTATCGGTATTCTCCTTCATACTTCTGTTCAGTCACTGTCATCTTACCGATCGGCCCGCGCAGACGGGTCAGGAAGAGGCCGGAGATCAGCAGGTAGGTCATCATAGTGGCGGGACCCTGTGCAAAGAGACCAACAGATTCTCAAAATGTCCAATGACACTGATCTACAGTAGATTTTCACGATGTCTTTCACACTCACCTGAGCACCGATCGCTGTTGTTAATTTGAAAATGTATAAACCGATATCCAACAGGGGCTGAAGGGGGGAATGCAAGAAAAACTCAGCAAATGCTGTTCATTCGAAGAAAAGAAACATCTGCTTTTATTGGGAAAGTACAATGGGTATTTTGGACAAAGGGGTTTCGTACCTTGCTGAGGTTGGAGTAAAGATCCACCACACTGTTACAGAACTTTTCCACATCCTGCGTCAGCAGCTGATCAGCGTTAGCAATGCGGTTATCCAGGTTTCCCATTTTGTAGTACGTATAACCCCTGTGAACCCAAAGATAGTTACACCAGTAACTAGACTTTTACATTTTCTTTAAAAAGAATCACATTTCAAAGCAAATTCATAAATTCAGCAAATTCACAATTTTAATTACACTTCAATCATGACAACTCTCGGAAGATATTAGCATGGTGATGGATATGACAATGTTAATGTATTTGGTCTTGGTGAAACAGATCTGCTACGCTGCTGCTGAATTGCTGCTGTTGGTTATTGCTGTAGTTGTAGATTATTGCTGCTGCAAGCAAGTACAGGAACTTGCTACTGCCAATGCATACGGCGATACGGTGCCGTGAGTATTTAAGACATACTGCTGCTGCACAAATAGCGTATAAAATAACCCATAGCAGATCTATACAGGTGGAGCTGGGGAAGGTGGAGGGTTTCAGAGAAACTCTGAAAGCACGCTGCAAGAATCTCTAGTGAATGCTAGCCAGCCATATAAATGCAGGCAGTAAGTTCATTGGCTGCATATGCAGCATGAACCAATCAGCTTGTGCCAAGTCGTTTAACTCTCTGAATATCATCGGTTACGTTAACAACCAGTCACCGGCGCAATCTAGAGTTTCATGACTGAACTATATATTTAATATTTTTAAAAAAATGTAAATAAAAAATACATATCTTTCATATATATTTTCATTAAAGATTACATTTGTACATAGTCCCCAGTTATTATTTTTTAAGACTAAAATTTAAATTTAATCTTCAGCAGATCTGAAGTCTTACACACTTGCAATTCTACATGTAGCGATGCCTACATTTAAAATAATAAATTAAAAATAATATTTTTTTTTTTTTAAATAATAAATTTTGTACACAAAATTATTTCAAATTTTAATATTAGCCATTTATCTGAATTTTAATGTCAATGCATCCATTTTAATAATTCGTATTTTAGTACATTATAACAAACGCCTGTATGAACAATATAATAGTAATGCTTGTTTTTGTTAAAATGCTCAGCATTTTACTGAGAACTGGTGAAGAATATTTCAGTTGGAATAATGTCATGGCAGTGATGGGCCGTACTTCAGGTACTCATCGTAGAGATGTTTGGTAAGTCGCACGCGAAAGCACAGCTTCAGTTCATTCAGGCCCAACTTCAGGAAGCTGTTCACCAGAGCGATCTGAAAGATTGAGATGCAACCATTTACAAGTCTGGAAGTTTTCATAGCCTCAGAAATGTTTCTATGTCAACAGGAGGCACATATTAGGTGGTTATTTGGAAGTTTTAGTTTTAATTTCAAAGATTAGACAGTTAATAATCTCAGAACTCCTCTGACTATTACCAATTACTACCAACTTTGATTAAAAAAAAAGCAGAAACTTACAACTGGCATGGCCGTGATAAAGTTGAATAAGTACTTCTTGAAACCTTTAGTGGATCGACCAATGATCGCACTGCAAACCACAACATGCACACAAACACATGCAAGCATGGTCAGAGTTAATACAGAAGGGAATGAACACACATCCCGCTGGCCTGTCCTTCATGTGCATGAAAAAATGAATGCAAATGATTTCAGAGGAAGCGCACATTCATAGTTACATTCACAAAACACAAATGTGCATTTAAACTGCAGACCAGAGGAGATCTGAGAGGTGAGCATGTGAGGAAATACATTGGACTGGTTCAGTGATGTAAATCACATGACACATCGGTAACGTTACATTAGTTTTCACAGCACATGAAGATACAGTAAATTACCCCAGGAATGACAGTCAGGTAGGAATAAAAGTGCCTCTTGAATAGTTTGATATCTCTGCTAATGATTCCACTGTCAAAGATTTCAAAAATACAATCAAATCGCATTAAATCAATATTTAACTAGGTGCTTGGTGTATTTACAAAGTCTAATAGTGTTAAATTTCACAGCACTAACAAATTTGAAGTCTACATCCATACGGTACCTTTCAATCATAGTGCCGTTCTGAATCATCCAGACATCACAATAGGTCCGAGTCACAAGCATCACTGCGATCAGGAACAGGTACCATGTCTGTGACATACAAAAAAAATAATGTGAAAAACAATAATGAGCTGAAATGCTTCACTTTTATTTTGCAGATATACATGCACAATATCTTTCAAAACTTTGGAGTCTGTAAGTTTTTATGTTTTAGAAAGAGGTTTCTTATGCTCACCAAGGCTGCAATTATTTGATCAAAAATACAGTACGAACATTAATATTGTGAAATATTATTATTATTTAAAATAGCTGTTTTCATTTTGAATATGCTTTCATTTAATTTAAGAATTTAATTAAATGTATTTCTCCAGTCTTCAGTGTCACATGATCCTTTGGAAATCATTCTAATATGCTGATTTGCTCCTAAACAAATATTTCTAATTATTATCAATGTTGAGAAACAGTTGTGCTGCTTAATATTTTTGTGGAAACTGCAATACATTTTTTTTTCTTTGATGAACAGAAAGTTAAAAAGAATATTATTTATTTGAAGTGCATTTTTTGTAACAATGTAAAAGTCTTACAGACACTTTTGATCAATTGAATGCATTGCTCAATTTAAAAAAATAATAATAGTTAAAAATATATATCTTAATGACCCCAAACTTTTGAATGGTAGTATATAAAATGTGTATTGTTTCAGTTCGGAAAAAATATGCAGAAAAAAACAAGAAAATGGTGTTCTTGGTTACGACATAAATTTAAAGGTGATGGGCTATTTTAAAATAAAAACACCCCAACTTCCTGTTCCAGCAAGAACTCACATGAAGCCAGTTCTCACCTCTCTGCAGAATAATCTTGGCACCATAATTCTGACGATCCGTGAGATCCGGATGAAAAAGAGCTTGTCCACAGCAGCTCTGTCTTTCTTGCCATCTTTCTGCTGGTTTTAAAACACAAGAATTGTTGAAAGTCAAAGGAAACTCATGGAATATAGCGTCACACGGCCAGACTAACTAAATAGTCTTATACATTACATTTATGCATCTGACATTACAGTAAAGCAACTTCCACTGCATTCAGTGTATACAGTTTTGATCAGTTCATGCAGAGCATCACTGCGATCAGGAACAGGTACCATGTCTGTGACATACAAAAAAAATAATGTGAAAAACAATAATGAGCTGAAATGCTTCACTTTTATTTTGCAGATATACATGCACAATATCTTTCAAAACTTTGGAGTCTGTAAGTTTTTATGTTTTAGAAAGAGGTTTCTTATGCTCACCAAGGCTGCAATTATTTGATCAAAAATACAGTACGAACATTAATATTGTGAAATATTATTATTATTTAAAATAGCTGTTTTCATTTTGAATATGCTTTCATTTAATTTAAGAATTTAATTAAATGTATTTCTCCAGTCTTCAGTGTCACATGATCCTTTGGAAATCATTCTAATATGCTGATTTGCTCCTAAACAAATATTTCTAATTATTATCAATGTTGAGAAACAGTTGTGCTGCTTAATATTTTTGTGGAAACTGCAATACATTTTTTTTTCTTTGATGAACAGAAAGTTAAAAAGAATATTATTTATTTGAAGTGCATTTTTTGTAACAATGTAAAAGTCTTACAGACACTTTTGATCAATTGAATGCATTGCTCAATTTAAAAAAATAATAATAGTTAAAAATATATATCTTAATGACCCCAAACTTTTGAATGGTAGTATATAAAATGTGTATTGTTTCAGTTCGGAAAAAATATGCAGAAAAAACCAAGAAAATGGTGTTCTTGGTTACGACATAAATTTAAAGGTGATGGGCTATTTTAAAATAAGGAAACCTTCAATTTATGCCTCACCCCAACTTCCTGTTCCAGCAAGAACTCACATGAAGCCAGTTCTCACCTCTCTGCAGAATAATCTTGGCACCATAATTCTGACGATCCGTGAGATCCGGATGAAAAAGAGCTTGTCCACAGCAGCTCTGTCTTTCTTGCCATCTTTCTGCTGGTTTTAAAACACAAGAATTGTTGAAAGTCAAAGGAAACTCATGGAATATAGCGTCACACGGCCAGACTAACTAAATAGTCTTATACATTACATTTATGCATCTGACATTACAGTAAAGCAACTTCCACTGCATTCAGTGTATACAGTTTTGATCAGTTCATGCAGAGATCGATCAACACATTTCTCTTACGTCACTGCTCAGATCTTTTGAAGAACCCTTCTTCCTGTTGAGGATGATGAAATAAATCTATATTAATAATAATTACAGTACGTCCAATAACATTCAGTATGAAGCATTACATAAATATTGCAGTTATCCTGTCATAAGTATGCTTGATGCTGAATCCCAAATGAAGAGAGTTCAAGGTGCAAGTATGAATCATTCTTGACTATCATTCTTGGGTATAGAATTTTTGAATGCAAACTGACTAACCAACTAACACTGTCCTCTATGAAAGAGTCCATTGTTGGACAGTGAGACTGCAACAAGCAAAACCCTGTTCAACCCTGCATTTCACTATAAGCTCAAGATATAGGACGTGTCTCAAAACCTAGTGAGGTGCCTACCTAGACTAGACAGCTCATTAGGTTTTGACACACGACCATAATGTTGGCCAGGTCTCATTTTGCTGTACGTTAGTTGAACCGGGGTCACTCTGACACTGAACTCCATTTGTGAACTTATTTCACGCATTAGGTACTTTATGTGTGTTTTCACATACCTGTTCAGTCCAGCGGATTTTCGTCTCTGCTTCAGGAAGTATAAAACGAGTAGGATACCGCCAGCCACAGCGGAGTTCTTGGCTGTCAAGTACTTGCTGATGGCCGCCATGTTTCCTACTGAGACCGGCCCGGACTCGGAGAACAGCGGCGCACTCAAGTCCGGAAGAGAGAGAGAGAGAGAGAGAGACCGGACGCGGGGAGCAGAGGGGCACTCAAGGACGGAAGAGAGAGAGAGAGAGAGAGAGAGAGAGAGAGAGAGAGACTGTGTTTATTAACCCTTTAGGAATCACTTTAAATCAAATACACGGAAGGAAAAGCCTATTATATCAACCATGTTGAAGTAAGACAAGTGACTTTCCATTTATTATTTATAAATTAAATATTCTTATTCTCTTTATTAGACCGTCTTTCTAGCATATTGTACCTTTACGGCTTTGCCTAGAGTTCCCCCTAGAGTTTGAAATATTACGTATGGAGGTCGATTTTTATGCTTCAAAAACATATCCAGTACTACTTTAGCTTTCTGTTTTTTTTGAAAGCAACAGATAATTTTTTTCTTAGGTATTTTGTTGGAAATTTTACATTAATGTATGTGAAATTTAACGTATAGAATTATCAGATTTATTACATGCGCCTCGTTTTTAATATTGTTATCATAATTTTACAAGATAACATTTTCAAAAAAATACAATAAAACACAAACTTATGGACATTATAAAATGCTACTACAATAACAGATCAGTTGTCGTTCTTGCAAGGTCTTTTTTTACGTTATAAATACAATTTTAAAAATACATTTCCATTTTATAAAAAAATGTAAACTTTATTTTGACATTGTCTGCATGATTAGCTTGACAATTTCTCTTGGAATTGCAATGTAAGTTTCATCAAAATAAAATAAGTAAAATAAGTTTCAAATGGAAGTTGATTTGAATTTAGGGAATATATATATATATA